CATTGATCCTGAGTCCGATTCATTCTCGTTGCAGTCGCTGACTCGTTATTTAGCGTTATTTGCATTTCATCATAATTGTCAGTAAAAGGACTACATCATCAGCGTATTCTGTGATACTATACTCAGGACTTATTTATTTATTTATTGAAAACCAGCCAAAAAGGACGCAAGCGCCATGTACTTGTATTAATAATAACGGTTAAAATAACAAATAATAAGAATTAATGACAAAAACAAAAAAATAATATAATCAACAATTAACAAATATAATTAACAATTTAAAGATGAAATAAAGAGGAAATTACAAAATAATATAATATATTATTGATATATTATATATATATATATATATATAAATATATTATTAAATAATATATATTAAATAATATATTAATAACATTACATATATATATATATGTGTAATATATATATGTGTAATTACATATATATATATATATATGTGTAATTTTGATCACTTTTGAAATCAGGCACTTCCTCAAGCGGCAATGAATTCACCTTCTTTCACATAAGACGAAAAGACTTTCGTTTTACATTGATCCTGAGTCCGATTCAGGATATATATATATATTATTTGCACACCTCTTGAATGCCGACAAGCGATACCCATTATCCAGTCTATCGCATTGTTGAATATCGCGTTCCATAATCCTTCAAAGGCTATACCATTGTGATCCTTCGGATAACTGGAGGCGAAATGATGTAGCGATTGTCATGCCTGAAAATGCCCACTCCGCTTTGATTGAGTGGAAATCGGTAAGTGATCTTATGACCTATGTCCCTTTTAAAGGCAAGTTCTGCAATATCTCGGTCATTAGTGTCTATGTTCCAACTTTGCCGGCAAATGACAGTATTCAAAAGTTCTATGCAGGATTAACTAACGAAGCATAACATGGTTGTAATCAGGGGAGACTAATACGCGCCTGGGTCATAATGCGGCTGCAATGACCTCAACAATTGGAAAATACGGCATCGGAAACCGGTGCGCCAATGTGGAACTTTCTTCGCTATGCCGGAGAGCATGAACTTTTTGTTACTAATACTTGTTTCCGGCATCGTAGAAAACATCTAGTAAGGTGAAGCTCCCCGGATAACCAACACATCAACCAGGTTGATTTTTTAGTCAGTAGCCGCTGGAAGAGTTCCGTACTTGATAGTTGTTCCTATCTTGTCCCAGGAAGCTATTCCGCATTCTTCAAAAATAATTATAACGATCAGTGAAATGGTAAAGGATAAAAAGATATGCCTATTAAAGCATCTGTTCAGGATTCCTCATAAGGAAGAAATTCTTTGAGACCAAATCATGATGTGCCATCTGTTGACCCCGGATATAATTGATTCATTAGTCGAACCGTTTGCAAGTGCGAACTGCCAACAGAAGAAGAAATAATCCCGTTATCCATAAGCTTAAGGCTAATAAAACTCGGCAAGATGGTCTTTGAACTCTTCAAATCTTATCCCTCGTCCTTCATAACGCACCTTCAACAAATGCATTCTCTGGTATGAAAAAAAGAAATATTACCAGATGACTGGAATGAAGCAGTTCTATTCCCGATTCTCAAGAAAGGTGACATGTTGCGACAGTGATCCAGGAATCACCCTAATGGACATCTTAGCGAAAATTTTTGCTCAATAGATTTATAACACGGAACAGCAGGATCGAGCTGAATTCAAGTCTTTTTCAGGCACATATTATCTTTATCTCTGCTTGAAATTTCGATTATTAAATGAAAAATGCGTATATTTCCATTATTCAGTTTTAATGACCCATTCACCCTCTTCACATATTGAAATAGTCCTTGCTTTGGTCAGCATATATATATATATATATACTTAAGTGAAACGATTATAGTTGGAAAGGAACGATTCTTGAATCATACAATCAAGAGAAATCGAAATAGAAAAAGAAATTAATATCTGCAAACCATGGAACTGATATTTTGAAGTTTCTGGATGAAAGGCTTTTTGTAACGAAAAAATCCTCCATGAACTACAACAGCGCAGAATGATTTTTCTATTCAGAACTAAATAAATAATGAAAAGTTTTTTAAACCAGCGAAATCCGTAATCTTTCGTGATATATTCTTATTCTTTATTCTTGATTCTTGATTTAAAAAAAAAGCAGATGAAGGTATCTTCTAATGATTTACTCTATCAAAATCTACACATTTCTATTTTTTTGTTTAATCATAACAAACATGAAATAAAAACAAGAATCACAAATCATGATAAAGGATCTTAAACGGTACCAACCATTTCTTTATGAAATTCCATCAGTAAAAGAATTCAATAGGCAATATAATATAAGCGAACAGCAACATATGATGAAGAACAGGCATTGTACCGGATTATAGAGAAAGATTTAAGTAAGAATATTAATAGATACTGATGCAATCTTTTTAAATCCATCATCCGTTTTCATCAAGTAATAAAAAATAATTTTAAATAATTTTATTTCAGCGAATTGGTTTGAAGTGTTCATTAAATAATTAATCTTAGCAATCTATACATGAATTTTATTTGCCCGAAGTTTCACCAATAATTTCACAAATATGCACCTGCAAATTCAATTCTACGCTTAAGGGATAATAAAAAATTCACACATTTTGCTACTGAAAGAAATTTCTCATTTAAAACAAAACAATTCTATCAAATCCATTTTCTAAAAAAATCTAACAAGTAATATTCTACACAAATCTAAATTGAATCAAAAAAATTCTATACGAAAATCTGATTTTACAAAATTAAATTTAAAAAAACTAACAGAATTAAAATAAACAAACCATAAAAGTTCCAAACAAACTAACTTTATTATTTTCGTCAGTGTAATAAAAAGCGAGTGCAGCGTCATGTGCCCAAGAGTATTTAATTAGACTTTCGTGAGTATCATCTGGACTACATATTTCCAACCCTTCGTTCTAAAAATAAAATTAATTTAATTCTGAACTCGCAAATATGAAATTAGAAATTAAGAATTAAGAATTAGAAATAATAATGCAATAACAATTCTGGATTTAATGCAATTATATTCAAAATCTTAAATTATTTTTAAATTATCTTTTAAATTAAATTATTTTTAAATTGTCTTAGATTATTTTACTCTAGAATAATTTTTTTTTAAAAGTCATTTGTAATGTTGAGAACATTGATTGATTCTATTCCAATTTTTATATCAATTTTTAATTTTAAATGAAGAAATCTTTAATCTACATTTCTATTTTTTTAAAATGAAGCAATAAAACAAATATTAATTTTGTATACTTCGGATATTATAGATAAATTTGTGTCACTGGCAAACAAATCAAGATTTCTTAATGTTTCCAATTTCTGTTGCTTTTCCAATGTCATCTCCAAATTCACAACCTTTTCCCGAAAATTTGATTCTTGTGTTGTGGCATCGTATTCTACTTCTCTTAACTCTAACAACTGAGTGAATCTGAAAAGAAAAAATTAAAAAAAACCAAATAAATATGGAAAACAAAATATTTAGACTTCTTCATAATATTCGAGAATAGAATGGCTCAGTGGGTTGGTTGTTCCTAAATTTGGAGCACCGATGCTGAGGTTCTATTCCAAGCCGGAGTAAATCTGCACAAAAATCTGGGTGATGCTGGCGACTCACCTGTATTTTAATTATGAAAACATATAAATCTTGCTTTATGAGGCCTATATTCAAAAATTCAATCTATAATGTCTTAAAAAAACTGTAGATTTTCCACAAAATATTTGGGAAGTGAGATAAGGGAATAGTTTTCTTAGAAATATGAATATAAAAAACTCCCTGGCATATTGCTAAATGTGACAAGCCAGTGGAGAGTTAACCAGCAATGGTGGAGACTCTTCAGAAGTATTAAACTTGAAACCAAGAAACAAAACTTATAAATAAATCGAAAAAGATCGGAAATATTCCACTAAACATATTATAAATATTCCACTAAACAATTATTATCGACCAAAAGTGTAACAAAACTTGCGAAATAAAAATACCCTTCCAACGATGTTTCACCAAAATCTGTTAAAAACGATGAAGCAATTTTTTCTCCAAGAAGATCGATTAGATAAGTTGAAAAATCTTGTATTTTTCTCACGAACCAATGACTGACCATTTGACCTGCCATCCATACACTTAAGCTGAAAGGGACATTTAAAAATCAGAAAAAGAGATTATTCGGAAAAAACAATCGTTTTCTTTTCTTATCAGAAAGTAAGAGATACATAACAGATGAATTAACTGAATCAAAATAATAACACGGATGGAAGAGAAATAAAATATTACTGGAAAAAAAATCGAACTTAATTTGTCTGGATAAAGAATGTTCATATGAAGTAATTCAGTAAAAAAAGTTACCTCTTCGAAAATCTGAAGAGATGAACGGATGTCATAACTGGATATAAGAAATTGTTCGCCAGTTTAACAAATTTGAATGAAAAAATAAAATCTGTCAGAACGCCAACTTTCGCAATCGTTTTCTCATCAAAAGCTAAAATTTAAATCTTTAAAAAATATTAAAAATTTAATTACTGTAAATGAATATTTGGAACAACGAATTTCGAGAAATCGAGTGGAAGAGTGCAATGTTCTGAAAAATTCAAGGAAGCTTACCATTCTCCATAATTATGGGAAAGAGATGACCAATCTTCGACCTTGACAGAAAATCGGCTACACCATGATTTTTATAAACTCGTATTTGTTCTTCTCCCTCAGAAAGAAAGCCTACTTTTAACAAAATTTCATCCTTCTCTCTAAAAATTAACAACAAAATCAATAAAAACAATAATGATTATAAAAAATTTTTAAAAATCATTTGAAAGATACTTTTTGCAATAAAACTAAAAATATTAATTCACCAAAATTTTGTAGCTGAAAAATTATGAAAAAAACAACAATTTTGAGAATGATAATAGAGAATACATTGGCATGCGCTTAGGCGTATATACATAATTTGCTTCGAGAATAACACTGCTCGCTTTTGCAGATAAACCTGAAATATGATCGAATTTAAATGAAAATAAAATGAGCAATTTTCAAATTCTCAAAATTAAAATTCAAAGGAATTTGAGGAAAAAAATTTTGATGAAATTCATAACAATTTTCGAAAAAAAAATCTTTTAGTGATGTTTTGGAATACTTAATATTCTAAAGCTTAGTTTCTTCTAAACAATACCATTATTGACTAGAAATCGTAAAGTATCGGAAAATCCTTGACGACAGATTTGTGAACATACATCAGGTGATGGCGGAAATAAACAAAACATAAAGCGCTGTAAATTATTCGTAGTGAATCGAATCGAAGTACCACCAAAGTTTAGATTTAGCATGCTAAATGAGAATTCAATTAGACAATAGAACTATAATATGCATTTATTTTCTATGAGATTCAGTGGATCATAATAGAAATTTATCAAAAAAATTGAAAAACCCTTAAAAAATGACATTTTGATTTTCAAGAAAAAAAATGAATGAATGAATTAAATCAAAATATGATTAATAGATTAAATAAAAAATGAACTAAACCAATAAAAATGAACCAAATAAAAGAATTAACCTAGCACTCTCTTCATCTCTCGGACATATATCTGCTTCACCGGAAAATGGTGACACCGTCAACGTATTTTCACCATAAGAAGGTTGGTTATCTGTTACACCACCATCGATATAAGTTTCACCGCGAAATTGAGGGTAATAAAAACCAGCATAAACGGGTATAAAACAACTGCATATTATTGCCTGATATTAAAGCTGATCTCATCAACAAAGCCAAAAAACAATTTGAATAAAAAACAAAAGTATAAAGCTGGAAAAAAATTAAAAATTCGAGTAAATTTTAGTAAAATCTTCAATTTACTTGAATAAGATCTTCTTTACTATGATATTCAGAAATTACAACATTCTTCAAATCTTCGACTCTCGTTAGACTTATACGTACGCGTCCTGAACATAATTCATGAGCATTATCTGGAAGCAACGCTTGAAGATCCTTTTCAATAATCCTCATTAGATCAAAATCATTGTTGAAAGCACCGAGTATTACTGATCGGGCCTGTAAATAAACATATCGATTCTGAATTATTTATAAGGGACTGGTTTAATAAGCTAAATTTTCATAACTTACATCCATCAAACAATTAGTTACTTCCATCTTATCTGACACTGCCCCCATATGCGAAGCTTTCGTTCTATTTTTCTTTCTTATTCTTTCCTATCTACTTATCCTCTCTCATGTCCTCACCTCGCATAGTATAATCTAACAATCATTTTTCTATCCACACTTCCCTTCTTCTAGGATTATCGCAGCCTTTCCTGCTGTTGCATCACCTCGCCATTAATAAATGAGTGTATCAAATACGATGGAAGTGTTGAAAGATAAAATAACGAGTAAACAGTTCCCTAGAATTTTATAGGTTAATCTCAGCACTCTAGTTTAAAACATATTTTAGAACAGCTGTGGGACGAGCAGTAAAAATAAATAAATTTATTAATAAATTTTTATAAATTATAATAAATAATAAATACAATAATAAATTTTAACTACTATTAGCGATTATTATTCAAGTAATTGTCTAACAATGGAAAAAAGAAAAAATTGAAAAACCTGCACAACAACATGAAGGAGAACACTTGTCGCTTTCGACATACATATTCCGCATGCAACAGCTGCAGCAATTAATGAACCAGCTGAAGCACCGCAAAGCACGTTTTCTAACAATCGTGGCGCGTATTCCTTGAGCGCTGCACATACACCCGTGTGATAAACACATAAAAATCCACAGCCAGCAAACGACAATGAATATTTACTAAATTCTGAATCAGTGTTATTCACCGAGTTAACATTCATTTTTTCCAAGATCCAAATATTTCAACACTGAAATATACAAATTAAGCACGATGGTGACAATTGCGCGCAAAGGAGCGGAATGGAATAAATGTCGATATGTCGGCGAAAACGAAGCCCGTTAATCCAAAATTTTGAACATCTAAAAAAATAAGCAAAAAAGCAGAAAAACAACCTGAAGCTTTAAGCACCTAAAAGACTGACTGCTAAATACAAATATATAAGCAGACAAATACACATTAGAATAGATCAATTCAGCTGCCGATTCGACGAATAGTACTATCTGTTAAAACTTTTGAGGGACTAGGATGAACTCAGTGGATTGCTGGTTTTATATTTCAAGGTGCAGGTGGGTATCTTGTACTTCTACTTCTGTTGCCAAGTGATCCCCTGCAAAATTCGCCATGGTCCGATAAGCCAGCGGGGCGAGCACAATCAGAAATTAAGCTCTTAGAAAAAAATTGGTTGGATGTGGCCATTGATCTGGCAAAATTGGGCCTGCATTGATATGGTGTAACGTGCCAGGGCTTAAGCAGTTAAAATCACCAAAATGGCCTGTGTGAAACCATGCAATATTTTATGTAATTTAATAATTTATGTTGGTTATTATGTTCGGCAATCAATTCGTTTATTAGTGAGAAAGCGAAGTAGGAATGAAAATGGATGAACGGACAGCGGACGTGAGAAAAGTGGGAAACGCTTCTGAAAGAATGCCGGCATCCGAATTGATGCTTGGCTGAAGGAACATTTATCTTAGCACCCAGCGTCTTGTTTTATTAGCGGAATGTCGCAATTTCAGATCGCAATTTAAATTTATTATTGGTGTCTATTGTGCGCAATTTGTTTACTATATGAATAAATATGCCTGGGAAATGGCAGATTTGTTGCGGAAATAGAATAGAACTGAGAATAGAAAGCGAGCATCGGCACTTCGAAATGAGAGCAACAGCTCTCTGAATCATTCTACCACTAGCGACCACAATTAGAAATGTATTTTGCAATTTATTATTTAAATCAACCGTGCTTATCACTTTATCACCAACGGAAATCGCAACCGTCCCATTACTTTTATACATTTAAAAATCATTTGGAGGGGTCTTAGGTTGCAACATTCGTTCGACTTGGACTTCACCATATTATTAAAGGGCGAAAAAAGGTAACAACCCCATTTAGTATAATTAAGTGAGACATATCTGCCTTAATTTTTTCATCATTATTTTAACTAATTTCGATAAACTTATTAGTCGCTGATTTCAGTCTATGAGTTAATAAAATTATGGTACTTCTTTCGAGGTTGATTTATATAATCGATTCGACTGTGGTGCATTTTCTGCAAATGTTGGAGAAAACCTGTCTTTTGCTATCTGATAAACAGTTCTTTCTTTTTATTTAATATTTCATGTTGTGATGTTTAAAGCTGAAATGCAGTGTTTTGGTAAAATTTATATTTTATAAATTCTTTTCTCCATTTAACTGTTTGCGTATGAAAAGACGTTAATAATTTGATACTTTTATTGTAATTATTAATAATAAATAGTTTAATTTAATATGTGAGGAAAAGAGTAGTTCAGTGGCTCCGATCATTGTCAAGCCATCATAAGTTCGATCCACGTTTCTGACTTGAGTAGACTTATCAAAGAAAATGGAATCCTGGTGCTGCGCCTATATATAATGCTATCCAGAAATGACGGGCGACGTTATCTTTAGAGTGGTGAATGCTATAGAAGAAAAAAAGAATAAATTTTTTCCTTTTTCTGATTCTCTGTGGTTTGTCTGTAGTATACCTTTCTGGTTTTCAGCCATTAAATAAAAATGAATTTCAAAAATATTTATAAAAAAGATAAAATATTTGCACAGTGATAGATGGTTTTTGCTGTATTTTTGCTGGTTGTTGACTTTAAACAATTCTTTGAAAATTTTGCTTCTTTTCCGAAGTTTGATTTAGCAGATTTATTAATTTTGATTATTTAAAAAGTAATAATTGAAAAATGAAAAAATCTTTTTGTGATAAAATTTATGATAATATTCGTACAGTGCAAGCTTGCCAACTGATATTGTTTCATTCCAGGTTCGCATGGATTCACCTGAATCACCCAAAGGGAGAAAAATTGTCATTAAAGTAAAAGTAAAATCTGTCTTTTGATGAGCATTCATTTTTGAAGTGATCGATTAAGCCAAACATTTTTTATTTTAATATTGTTTTTGATTTTTAACAACACTTTTTCACTAATAATTTATGCCAATAAAAATAGTTCGAATTTTTTTCACAGAATTTTGGGTTTTTTTATGAAATTTCGCCATTTAGTTAACTAAATCTAGTCTTATTCGATTTTTTCTTGTTATGTTGTGAGAGGTTTGTCGTTTGTCGTTTGTCTTCTCGCATTAAAATTTTCCTTTAAAAATTCTGAGTGGTACTATCGGTTGGCCTTTTTCCGCTAAGTGATTCTCTCCGAAAATTTTTCATCTTAATTTTCCACCCCGTTTTTTTCATTTTATTTTTTATGCCATAATTTGATTAAATTTCTAATTTTAATATTTTAATTTTCTTTTTTCGTTTAGTTTAGTAATTAAATAATAACGTTGAATTATTAAAGAAAACAAGCAAATGCGCAAATAGGAAAATAAGAAAAATTTTTGATTTTTCACGGTTTTCCAAAATGATTCCTAAATATTGTTTAGTTCATTTAGAATTTTTTTCGGAGACTATCGCGGAGCAAAGTTGCAGTTATAATTTATATGATAAAGCAGATAATCCTCTGCTTATCTCGAAGTGATCTCAAATCGTCATATTTGAGTCGTGTGAGTCGAGTTCCTTTCAAATAGAACATCCTGTTTTATATTTGATCTGTATATTTGATCTGTTTGGTACTATAACTATTGCAGATGTCAAAGTTTTACTAGCTATAACTATTATATTTAAATATTCCTTAGGAAGGCAGGACAGTAAAACTTTGAGGGCCATGAAGGCATTACTCTTGCTTTTGGTTTACTAACACAAAAAATAAGTCAGAGGTTCAAATGGGCTCTTGTTCTTATGGATTCCTCAGCTATTGTTGGTTAGCCTGGCTCCAACAATGCAGCAGTGAAGTGTGTGCTTTTAAGCTTCTCGCTTCGATGCCATATTTGCGAGCAATAGAAGGCACTCATTTTTTCACCATCTTTATTCATGTGTAGTTGAGGCCTATGCCTTCAAAACCTCTCCTTCTATATCCCTCCTGCTGATTCCCTCCTGATTTTAAATTCTGCATTTTTGCTCACTCTCGCACATATCGCATTTTTACGGAGTCAAGAATTCAAAAGTTCTATACGAGCAAACTGATTGTGTCTTTTATTCGAAGGAGACGAGTGGCTTCGCCACCGAGTCACTTGGGTGGGTGCGTAACTGCATGAACGCATTCCTACATGCATAAATGCATATTTTATTTTCGGAATTTATTTGTCACAATAATATTTCACTGAATTTGCTATTCATCGTTTATAAAAATTTTATAAAAATTATCAAAAAAAAAGTCAGCTGTTTTGTTTTTCAAACAGTCATATGATAGCGTTCCGTTATTGAATTCTTTGGGCTTTTTCCTAAAATTTGCTCAAACTGCTTCCTCGGGAAAAATTTCTTAACTCATTTGAGTTTATTTCTTCAAATCACTCTAAAGGTCAGTAGTAATTATTAGACGATATTCGTTTTCCTTCAACGCATCCAATCCGTTTTCCTTTCACAATTTTCCTTTTTTCCACTCTTTATAGGACCATTAAATATATTATTTTTTTGCTCGAAAAATCTGACGATATTGTGAAGTGAGGATTTCAAAAATGGACCTCCATCAACACTCGAATTTTTGAATGGCAGCTTTGCTCCCCGCCTGGTGCTATAGAAGAACCAAATAATGCACGAAACGACAGTCGGCTATTCTCTGTCCTTCTTTATAAGTCACTTTTCAAATTCATGATTTGTTATCCTTCAGTATTCATTCAGTATTTTATATTTTATATTTTATTAAAGAGGTTTAATTGATGTCAGCGATTTGATTTTTAATAGAGAGATTTAAAGGAATTTCAGAAAATGGAATTTTTTATTTCGTGATCGTAAAATCAACAGTTCGATTCTTTATCATTACTCTTTGATAATTAAAGTAAAGTAAATGGGGCTAGAATGGCTCAATTCGAAGAGCCGGGAAGTTTTATTCCCCGCAGGAGTGAACCTGTCCAAAAATGGGTGATTCACCTGTATTTCTATCGCCAAGGAACTCCCTGGAATATTTATCCAGTGCGATAAGCCAACGGAACGAGTAATGGTGAGATTTCTTAAAAAAAAAAACAAAGTAAATAAGTGATTTAGCGCTCACCATTTTTGGTTAGATTTGCTGCGCTGGTCGTTCACTAAGAAATTTTAACAATAAGAAATAAGAAATTTATACCAAAGAAGTTGCCTTAGTCGAGTGGCAACCACCTGTTAATTAAGATATAGAAGATTTGGCGAAATACAAGTAGGCCCAAATCTCGAAGCTGGACACGATAATCTGGACAATAAGCACTCAGCTACTCCACTATATTATTTTATTATTTGCCTAGCTATTCAGTGGTTGTTTCCTCCACAAATTTGTTGCTTTTGCTACTCTTGCTTGCTGTATTATTGTGTCGAGAAACAAGCATTTGGTTCCTGAATAGAAATAATTAAGAAGTGCAGATGGTTCTGGCGGCCTTCCTATATCTCTTTGAAAGTCGCTAACAAAAATTTTCAACTATACTAACGAGGTTGGTATAACCTAAAACGATGATTGACCATTTATTATATTGGTACTATAAGAATGAAATAATCATTGAGTATTTGTTCATTCGTCTCTGCAATCGTTTCGTTCGATTAACATTTATTATCATCGATGATGACATGATAAAACGTATATTTTTCTCATTTTATTCACTTTTTTAAATCCTAAATATTTTGTTCTTTAAAAATTTCATTCATCGACCTAAACCGCTTATGCTGTAATTTTTAATTCCTCTCCAAATCTAATCGTTCATTTGCGCAATCATCATCAGATTCGGCTTAGATTCGCTGCTCTGGCTGTTAGTGCAGCTGAAAATTTCACAAGAGGGTCAATTGAGGATGAAAATAAAGGTGGGTTAATCAATCTTACGCTGATTTCTCTTCAAGTGATAAGATTCATTAATGGATAGGAATCGTAGCAAATCAAAGCGATATACCTTTTAATTATTGTCAGATGTGTCAAATACTTTCAGTAATAATAATTGAAATTGAAAAATTGAAATTAATATGTGTAATACTTTTCTTGAGAGTTTTGAAGAGAGGCAAAAAAAGATTTTTTCTCGAGAATATATCAATTTTCGGCGAAGGAGAAGAATTCTTATAAAATTCTATCAGTCAGCTGTCGCTATAGTATCGTTTTTAAATGTTTACTTATTTATAATATATGTATTTGTGACGCATTTTCTTCTCTTCTCTACCAATAGCTCGAATTATTGCCGTTTCGTTCCATAGGTTGGTTCCACTGCAAACTGTGAAGGGGAGTTTCAAAACTTCCGATTTGCTTTTATTTAAACCACAAAGTATTAAGAA